GTTCGCGACGACTGCGCTACTGCAAGTCAAGTTTCGGGGCTCCCGAGTTTCCCAAGAAGCGGGCTTTAAGTTCGGCCGCGGCTCGGTTCCGAGCTTGGAGACGCTTTAAGCGAGACGATTCGGCTGTTCCGGGAAGTAAGGAGTACGGACGGTGTGTTTCGACATGTGTTCAAACGCTTTGAGCGCTTTCGGGAACTTGGATGTCTCGGGAACACAAACTGGCCTGAGTTAAGCGGGAAGGAACCAGAGACGGTATACAGACTCACTGCCGAGAATATTCATTTTTATCTTGGATTTAATGGACAATGACTCAATTCTAAAACTCACAAGAGCATCTTCCCTCAACAGTTCGTGAGACATTGTTAGGACGAGTACACGCAGGCTGTGCGGCGTATATTGTACTTGGCCGGTCCTTTCTCCGTTGATGAACATTAAAACTGACAGTGTGAGCTTTCGAGTCATAATCCGAGGACGAAATTTTAAAAGTCAGAACATGCGGAAAAGGGAAGGAAGGAGGTTGTTTGAGTCCGACAGTGGCGTGGCGTGCATTTCGATACATCGATTGATCTTCCATTTAAACCTATGAAATAAGATCGATAAACACGGATCGATTCTTCACCAAATCTTCAAATGGAGAAATATCGATAATCGATCATTCACGCCTCACCACTGGAGTGCGAAGCTGTGCCGTTTCGATATTTTCCCAGTTGAAGCTGTGGTAAATAATCGATTATAAGGATATGCTCGGACAATCGATCCTTTTACACGGGTTAACATGGCAGACCGATCGATGCATCGCAGAGCACGTGGCGCCGTGTGCCCTAGAAACGCAACAGCTCTCGAGTGGAAATTGCGGAGTGTGGGAACAAAAATATGCGGGAAGCAGGAGGTATGATGAAAATAGGGAGATTCGGATCCAGACGCAGACGTCTTATTAAAGTTCCTCGCGGAGAGGAAAATACTGACATCCATGTGTCATTATTTTAACAGGAGCCGAGCAGAAAGAAAAGGAGGAATTGAGACGGGAAGAGGTGGATGGGCAGTGGTGCCACGTCTCGTGTCAGGTTCCGAATTGCATGTAACGGAAATGAAGGTACTTTACAGGGTTGCCACGCACGGTCAGGAAATACCGGGGAATTTCACGGAATTTTGAAATCCACGGAAAAAAAGAGGTAGGGGTCAAGTCCCAACTGTTGGATGATATGGACATTTCCAATTAATTGAGAGATTACCCCCAATTAAGTGTGATACTATCGCGAAAAACTGGGTTACTAACCTAAATGTTGCGGTACTACCCCAACTTGAGTTGCGATACTACCAAAATTAATTGTAAGTGTCCATATTATCCAACAAATTGGGGTAGTGCTACAATTTTAGGGGATAGCCCCTGACACTTTTTTCCGTTTCAGGGAAACCCTGGAAATATCAGGGAGAATGACGAAAGTGTCGGGGAAAAATTGCCGGTTCATCCTCGTTAGCTTTCTAGAGTGCATTCGACGTTTAGGACACTACATTTTACCTAAAAACTATTTGAAATTATGTATTTTTGGCCTTATAACATATTTTCAATTGTCAGGGTATTTTACTCAGATGCGTCAGGGAAATCAGGGAAACGTAAAGAAATTACATTTTCTAAATTTTGTGGCAACCCTGATTTTAGGGGGGGGGGCCTTCATAGTACATTGAAAATCACGTTTATGGAGAAACGTTTCATTTTATTCTTTAAGAAATTAAGGGCAATTTTTGGTTGCGGCGTCTCAGAATATCCTGTAACGTTTCATTCATTATAACTGAAGCAAATGTATGGAATCCGTTGAAACTTTTACTAAATTTTTTTTATGATTTTAAAATACTGAAACCGAAAAAATTTAGAAAATTCACCCAATAGTCACCTCCCTAAAATATATATTCGCAGTGGAGATTTTAAGACACCGCTACTGAGAGGTGCCCTTTCTGTACCCAACGCTTCATTTTTAATTAAGAGATAATTTGAAAATGTTATTTTCAGAAATTTCAGGAAACGAATTGGGCGTTTCTAGTTCTAGTGAGTATTTTTTAATGTTAATTCATTTTTTCATGCTCGGTTCTAAGAATTAAAATAATATTTTTAAAATGTCTTTGAAAAACACTTTTAAAGCATAAATATGTATTGAATGGGTAATTTTGTGGTGTTTTTTTCTTTCTTTTTTTTTTCCATGCATAAATCTTCTTAGTCTTATGGTAGATAGGTTGTCCCATTTCATTACACCATGATATATTTTTTTCTGTGATCAAAAGGAATCAGAAGAGGCGAGAATACCAGGAATAAACGATCTAACGAGAATACAAAATTAATTGCGACTAAAAATGAAAAGAGGCACTTGACATTAATTTGTAATTCAGAGGAGAGAAATACAATCGTCCTCCTAAGTCTGAAAACCGAACACCTAAAAAAATATGACAAAGAGGATTTAACGAGACTGAAAAGCGATAGCCGTGACCTAGTTTGCTTTTTTCCTTGTTATTCATTCAAGTTTGCACGGAGGTGCAAGGTCGATGTTCTTCCGTATGCATTTCTGCACGTAATTGTATCGATGCAAACTTACAAATTTCAATAAAACAACGGTAACAAAATGAAACAGCTTTCACGGAACTTTTAATGGGTTTTGAGGGATATCATCGCAAGAAGCCAGATTGTCAAATCCGGCTGAAGGCATAGCAACGAAGAACATTAGGGCACTGAACAAGGCATTGACTAGAGAAACGCGTCACATTTTTCCTATCCAAAATCTCAAGTACAGAACGATTAATAGACCGATTAATAGAACGATAGACCAAATGGCATTTCAACTTTGGCGTTCAAAAATGGCGTTTCAACTTCAACATTAATTGGGCGGTTGCGCCGGTCACAGAATCGTGTTTTGATGCTTGATTCTTAAAGATTAGTTAAATATAACAAGATCTGTTTAAACAGCGGCTTCCTACGTTGAATATTGATATCGAGCTTTGAAAAATTCGGGTTATGACGTCATCCACCGCGGTAGGGACAACCTTGGTTTCTTCCACCTTGCTTTCATAAATCACGTATACAGAAACACACCTTTGCACGGGTTAATCAACGTGTAAAGCGGATGAAAGCAAAGTGGAAGAAACCAAGGGTATGTCATTGCCGCGGTGGATAACATCATAACCGAATTATATCGGCGATATCTCGGCGATATCATATCGATATCGCCGATATCGATATGATATCAATTATATCGGCGATATCATAGCGATATCTCGGTTAATATTGAACGTGGAAAGTTGCTGTTTGGACAGATCTTATTAGTTTCAGCTAACCTACGAGAATCAATCATCAAAACACAATTTTATAGCCAGCGCAACTGACTCATTCATTTTATTGACCCCCCTCATTTCCATTTCAGCAATCTTCATTGTAACGCTAATGTCTGGTTTCAGAGTGGGTTCTCAGACTTACTGTTGTGGGACCCGTTTCATTAGTAAAATTTTGAAAAGAAATCATGCTGCATGGTGATTTAAACTATACTTTTTGTAGGGGTCCATTATAATAAATTCATAGAGGGGTATCAGGAGATAATTTGTTTTTAAAAATTGAAGATTCTATCCATTCCGTGTAAACCCTGGTGTTCTCAGGTGAGCTCATTATTTCGCTCGAATCATCGAGATCAAAGTTCCATAATATCGATGCATTTTCTTGAAATTGTTCAAATTTAAGGACGTATTTCCCGTGATTGCTAGGGCGTTTTCATCCTTCATCCGTGATATCCCTACTTTTCATCGATACTCTCATTTCATTATTATACAACAGGAAAAGCAAGTAAAAGCAAGCAGAAAAATCCAACATGAATATGTTGGAAAAGCGTGCCGAATAACTAAAATGTTGGACACATACCTACTATTTTCACGTCTTTGTTATTTGCATCAATTGGTACTTTTTGCTAAATTTGGGAGAAAATATTGATCCATAAACGTTGAATGTAAATTGATTTTAAAGATTCCGTCCAATTGTCTTGATTTTAAGCTGATATGCGGCATTTCGCACGACCGTGATTTGGGCGAACTGCCGTGCATCGAAATCGCGTTCAGTTAATCTCTTTGGATTTCGAACTGTAACTTCTCTCCTATTCGGCCGATTTTTACAAATGAGGTCTCTTTTTATTTGTACTTTGACGGAAAGTAAGGAGAAACTCGCTAAATAGACGGAAAACAATTTTTGTGAAAATTTGGTGGATCCTGGCGTCACGGTGAATGGTTAATCGGGCGTGGAAGATAATAGGTTCGACGAGGCGACCCTCTCCTCGCCGTCTTTTATTGCCTTGCTCGAAACCTGACACCCAAAGCTATATCGGGAGATAACTGCAGTGGTTTGAGTGGATTTCTGCAGGGGCCACGGTTAGTACATGGTATAAAGAGTCACGAGGCTCATCACACATTGCACTTGCAGTGCAAGACGCTTCATTGGCTAAACAGTTTTGGCGGGAAAGAAGGTTCTAGAGTTGAGTCCTCCGAGCGTAAGAAAGCTTCTATGAGGTTTTTGTCAAATGAAATAATACGGTTTTGACAGAAAAATGTTCTCAAGGGTTTCCAATTAGCAGTTCATTAGATTTTTTGGTAAAAGACCATCAGGGCTTGACAGTGTAATGGTTCAAAGACAAAGAAACGGGTGCGAGGAAAAAAGTATTTGGACGACCCGTTGAATAGCATTGGTTGATCTGTGTGCTGTACTATGGTACATCCGAGTGATTTCAAAAAGCGAGCCCTACTGGCACGCTTAAAATGGCAATAAAAACACTATACAACTCCGATAAATCTTTATGAAGAATCTGATAAATACGCACTATCACGCAGGGCTAATTCAAAAAGTCCGATGAAAGCAACACTGCCGTGCTAAGGAAGAACACCGAATGAACATTCGAGAGTTGCCGAATTTCCCCGAATAAAAACTTAATTTTTTTGGTTAGGTTATGCATATGTTTCCTTTAAACTTTCAGATATTTTAGATTAAGTTGTGTACAATATTGTGTGAACATTTTGGAAACAAATAATCACGATTTTTCCAGTAAATTCTGTTTTTACTGGCGGAAATTTGGCAACGTCTGGGGGCTCATACGGCAATTTTCCTTAGCACGGCAGAACAAAGCGTTACGACAGATCCGCGTGGCATAACTTTTGGGTAGGCAACTAATGAAGCTCTACGGATGTATTTTTGCCTACACGGAAAATTGAAGGTGTCTTGCGTTGCGCACCGAAGCGTAGAGCATTTCTCACGTCAAAAAAAGAGAGTGTTCGAATTTTGGGGGAATTTTTTCAATCCTTATTTATAATATGGATTGGTGAATAGAGGGATGGACTAACACCTCATTTTTAAGAAAGTGGCACAAATTTTGCTGATTTAGCAGGATCATTCAGTTCCTTGAAATTAGCTCAAAGAATTTTACTTTTGAAGAAAACTCGTTTCCAAAATAATATTGGGCCTCCGATGACAGAACAGTATCAGCACGGTACTTCGAACAAGTATTCCGCGGCGCACGATGCAGTGAACGGAATATTTAATTCTGAAAAATACGAGACGCAGATGTTTAAAACTGAACCCACTGATTTGCTCATAAAATTCCGGGAGGGTCGATTCCCTATACATCAGCCTGTCATGCAAAAAACGAGGATTTCAGTCGCTAAACTAATTTGACCACCACTGTTGGATAAAAGCCGTATGGACATCTGCCAGATTGGTCTTGATAAAATATTTATTTTTTAGGAATATTATGAAGATTTATATTTTAAATATTTTGATACTTGAATCGAAAAAATAAAAATATCTGGACGGTTGAGAAAAAATTTAAAAACATTCCCCAAAAATTCGCATTTTATTGGAGGGAATTTACCAAC